CCAGATCGTGCAGCCGCGGAAGAACCTCTCGCAGGGTGAACGCGGCTATCGTTGCCCCTGCGAGCTGAGCTGTCATGTAGAAGGGAAACTATATATGTGCCCAAAATGATTAGTACGTCATCAGTACTTGTCGATCGATATATATATCCAGATCGTGCAGCCGCGGAAGAACCTCTCGCAGGGTGAACGCGGCTATCGTTGCCCCTGCGAGCTGAGCTGTCATGTAGAAGGGAAACTATATATGTGCCCAAAATGATTAGTACGTCATCAGTACTTGTCGATCGATATATATATACCTTCTTTAAAAGTTATTATAATTAATTAAACACGCATGACCTTGAAAATGAATTATCCAGTGTTTCAAAAGCTGCTTCATAAAAATCGGAAGTCGTGTACTAAAATTTTTGATGCGATGGTAATTGACCGTGAGAGGATATCGATTGAATTATTGCCCATGGAATGTAACGAGTATCCGCTCTTAAACCTCTCCGGCGATATTATTGATGCTAGTATATAATTAATTAATGGTCCCACCATGTGAGCCATGCTCCTTAATTTTAAGACTTTCCTTAATTAACTTAATTTGAAAAATATATTATTTAGACTAAGGGTTTGGATCCTCTTCACTGCAAAAACGCAGTGGAGAGACCACTACTTTTTTGATAGTGAAGAGGATCAAATCCAATCACGTATGGGATCGTCACCCATTATGTGAACGATATACATATAGTATACTAATAACGCGACCTAAATATTAAGAAGTAGAATGTGGAACGAGTTAATTAAGAAGCATCTTCCCGTTAAGAAAAGCTAATTAAAATTTATCTCATTAATTTATGTCTTAATGATATTTTTTTTACATGATCACCAGTTGGTCATTTAATTAGTACGCATACACCAATTGTGAATTGTAGTAGTAATTAGATCAAGAGCTTAAGAAATGCTTACAATTAATGACATATATATATAGTAAGACATAATTTTTATATTAAGAATGGATGCAAAAAATCATGTGTAAGCACATGAATGAAAATTGAAAAGCAAGGTCTGATTATACTTAATTATATGATGATCATGGATCAATCGCCGTCACCTCATCATATATATAGTACCTCGATCCTATATGTTTCATAGTTTTCACCAAATTAGTTTTACTAATTAAAAGCCTAGGCGACAACCAACTTATTTTTAAATAAGATCGATCACGATCTACTAGAACAAAATTAACAGTTGGGAGAAACCGACGCCAACCTGTACCCAGGGGAAATGCCTGGTGACCGCAAATGCCAGAGTCACGGCCGGATTCATGTGCGCACCGGAGATGTGCCCTACCGCATATATCATCACCGTCACGACCGTCACGATCAACCCGCCAGCCACTGATGCGCCGAGCTGCGACACTCTGTGCTGGTCGCTGCGGCTCAGCGCACCAGCACCGCAGGTCACAAACACCAGCATGAATGTAGCTATCACCTCCGCCATTACCTTCAATCAAGTTCATTTTAATTGCTCAGTTAGGTTAAAACACACATGAAAATCATACTGAGACCTTAGGAAAATTAAGTCTGAAACTTTAATTTTAATTATGCCGTAAAACGCGTAGTTAAATTAAACATATATATTAGTTAAAATCATCATAGACTTTGTTTTTTTTAAGTGATTAATTTACTGTCACACATCTATTAGTACAGATATTCATCAGTTTAGGAATTGAAAATTTAGATATTGTCAATATGTAAGAGTGTAAGACCATATATAGACGAAGAGTATATACTAGCATATATATGAGTTAAATATGCAATATGTATGTAAGATATATACCTTTTTAAGGAGAAATGGTGGGAGGAGATGTGCTAGTGGTGATGGAAGAATTATAAGATTGAGCTTTTTTGGGGTACAGATTTCAGCTGTCGAGATGTCATGGATCTCTGATGAGTTTGAAGCCATCATCCACCAATCTTCAAGCCCTATATATATAGGCTCTTGATTAATTCCTGTCTACGTACCTCTCTCTCTCTCTTTAATTATATAGAGCACAAAGAGCTAGCTAATCAAAATGGACCTTTTGTCAGCAAGGAGAGGTTTCTGATGAGTCCAAGAGCTAGCATGTGTACTTAGACCTCGAATTTGCAGGTCATCACAAGGATATGTGGGGCCCATACCGGCCAGACTGAGAGAATCTTCTTCTTTTTTTCCGTTACTTTGTTTTTAGCATTAATTAGCCAATTAAAATCTAGAATTTACGGACTTGTGTTCATGACTAATGTTATCAATAGTCTCACTTAATTATAGATCGAGGGTCAAAATTGTTGAGTAAGGTTCATCGTGTATGGGTCGGTCGAAGCACACTAACTCTTACTGATCCTTTTATCGCAGAAATTTAGGCCGATCAGATGAGGTTAATGTATGTTAATTACTTTGGGACAATTTCGAAGCCCACGAGCCTAAAGTTGTGACCCAATCGTGTCTGGATTAAGCGCGCGGAGCTTACCCGGCCACTTACAAGCAATTACGTAACTCTCCTCTTTTTGATCTACTATATTTATTTATCAGATCAGAAACATTTGAGCAGCTGCGGATTTAGTTTTTGGGTCTGTTTTTTTGGGCCCACCAGTAACCAACATTCTATTGTCTTTCTTCAATTCATTGGTAGGCTGCTTGATGATGGCAATTGACATTTCTATGAGACATTGAAGGCCCTAGAAATAATGTGTCATGTTTGTTTCCTAACTAAGTGGGATGCTGCAATTAAGTGGTCAAATAATTTGATTATTTCATTCGAGTTTACATTATTATTATTATTATTTTCTATATCTTTACTATAACTCATTTGTAAAACCAGTATAATGTACGTGTTCTGCACGTGGATGTACATGTTTTAAATTTTAAATCTTTTATTAAATAGTAAAACAATGTGTTAGTAAATAAAATTATATAATAAGATTGTTTAAAAAAAATGTATTAATTAATTATTATTGTATAGTTATTGTATGAATGTTTTTTGTAATGATCGCCCGGTATCAATCTTTTTTTAAAATAAGTCTAAAACTGTTCTTAAATAAAACTGTCAATTCTATAATTTCTCTTAAATATGACCCTCTAACTTGAAAGTTGTTAACTTAAATCTAAATTAACTAAACTGCATTAGTATTGCTAGCTTTTTCCTGATTCTCCTACATAGTTACACTTGGTACCTGCAACATATTGCAATAGTTACTTTTTATTATAATTATTTAATAGGGTAAGTTGTACTAAATCCTTGTGAATTTTCAGCCATATAAACTTTCAAAATTACACTAAACCACTAATGACTTTTTTTGTTTCAAATAGGGCCCCTAATTACTTTCTGAATTTTACAGATAACCCTATAAATTAGAACTAGAAAATGGCATAAAAATATATTTTAAAAGTTATCAGGGGTTTGGTGTAAATTATCTAAAAGATATTGGGGGATCTCTACAAAAGTTATTAGGGATTTAGTGTGATTTCCAAAGTTCGTGGGGCCTATTTACTGTAAAATGTTGAAAATTCGTGAAAGTTTACTGCAATTTTATCTTTTTTAATATTATAATTCTTAGTTCAAGTAATAATATTAAAATAATTATACTGTCTGTATGCTATAAAATATTTATCTTTTAATTTTTTAAATTATGCTCTTAAATAATTTAGTACTATAAATATTTTATAAATTTTTAGTATACTATTATCAACAAGTAATAGTTTAATTTATTATTAATATTAAATATTTTTTGTAAAAATGTTAGTTTTCAATCATTACCAACTATAGATTACTTGGTATCAGGTAATAATCTTTGAGATCATACTCTAAAAATAATATCAAATTATTTATTTAATTTATTTAATAATATGATACTAAATAAATAGTGTAATTCATAATTAATGTGATATTATTAAAATAATTATACTATTATTAGATTCAAAATTTATTATATTTATTTTACTACGCGTTGAATTATAGTATAATTTTTAATAGTATTTAGTAATATATTATTCTATGTATACTATTATTTTAATTATTTTATTATAATTTATAAATAATTATTGTAATACTTTAATTGATTACTACTAATAATTTTGCATGCTTATATTATAAATTACTTTATTTTATTATTTTAAACATCAAATAGTTATAATATTATTAATAATTATAATTGTTTAGGAAGGTGAGGAGATGCATAAATAATAAGAGGTTATATTTATTTAATAAAAGATTAATTAGAGATAATGGCATAGTTAGAATTTATTAAAATTTAAGAGGGTAAAAAAGAAAATTAAAAGTTTTAACACCCCAATCCTCTTTTTATAGTAGTGTAGATATGGATAGTTCATGGTTACCATATAATTTATTGCACGAAATACGATTATGTTTTAGAACTTTGATCAGTTGATAACATAATGCAACACTTGATGACATTTCAACATCATTCAGATAATTCATAAGTATTTGATAAATCTTAGTTTTTTAGTTAAAAGTATTTGATAAAAATTTTCATAGAGAATTTATTTAACAACAATAATTTTTGTATTTTTAAGACTTTTTTGAGGTTGTTTGTAAAAATTGAATATTCAGTGGTAGGTGCAGATTGTTCAAAAGGCTAATCGAAGATTTCATATTTTTATGGCATTTTTATTTTTGCAAGTTAAGATTTTTAGAAATATGTTTGTAATTTTTTAATTTTAAGGGTGATATACGTAATTACATATTGTTCATGAAATTGTCTAAAATTTTTAAAGGTGTTTGTCGATCTATAATTTTTAGATTTTTGAGGTGTTTTTTTAATAATTCTTAAGTTCTTAAGGAGGTTGTTTGTATCTTTTAAGTTTTAGGTTGTTGTATATAATTTCAAGTTGTTTATGAGACTGTTCAAAATTCTCATATATTTAGGGCAGTTTTTGTAGTTTTTGAATTTTTGGTTAGGAGGCTCTTAGTGATTTTTAAATTTCATTGTTCTGCCTATAATTTCGTATCGTTCGGCATGTTTTTGAAAAATTTCATGGTTTTAAGATTTTTGTGTAAATGTATATGTAAGCTCTTATTTATTGTCATATAATAAATTTATTAGTTTTATAGAGCATGCATCTTTCAGTCTCCCACTTGAGCTCAAAGTCAATCCAATATAAATTTCAAATCTACCATGTCAATATATTTCTCAAACACCTTTTGACTCAATGGTTTAATTAACGGGTTACTTTATTGGCGGAAGTGACTTTGGTAATGTCTATGTCTCCTCTTGTCAATTTCTCTTATCAAGTGATACTTTTCGTTATGTTTTGATCTATGATGAGCACTGTAGACGGTAAAAAATACCTCTATGGGTCTACAGGAAATTTGCCTACGAGAAGAGTTCGCACG